CACTATATTTGCTGATAACAATATGAAAGTATTCATTCATGGTCCCCGTAGTAATGTATGACCACAATGAAAGGTCATAGTTTTAATGGTGATATTTGAGGAAAAAATCTTCAAAAACTTTTCTTTAGAAAATAAAAGGGTCGTGATTAGTCATATTATGAATATTCAGCAACCAAAAGAGGTATTTTTCCAGTTTGTACAAATGTGACCGGTGCACGGTGGAACTTTGGTAAGGGATCAGGGGCACAGTTTGTTTTTTTTTAAGTGCTTATCCAAGACCAAATTAAATGCAATTATAAATAATTTTCCCTTCTTCGTTAATATGAAAATGTTTAAGAACTCGGAAAGATAAAAGTATAATTATTCTGATATATTTTTTTTCATTAGAATCATATACAGCTCTAGTGTGTTAGAATGTCCAAACACATTTAAATTTTTGGAATAGTGGTAAATTCTTTAGTAAAACGAACCTCAGAATCAAAATAAACAGGGCAACACTAAATCAAATCAACAGAAAGCATTGCATCTGTTAAGAATCAAAATTTGCATATAATGCATGAAAAGAGAATATTTTAAAGACTTTTTCTACAACAACAGGGTCATAGTAATCTTCATATTGATATTAAATATCCCTATGTTGTGTGGATTCTATAATTCAGTCATGTCGTGACACCCTGGTATTAGAATTGGACCCTTACATGGAGTCAATTTTTAGCTCTACTGGTCAGAGACCAGAAGAGCTTATGCGATAGTAATGCGTCCGGCGTCCGTCCGTCTGTCCGTCTGTCTGTCCGTCTGTCTGTAAACAATTTTTCAAAATGCTACTCCTCCTACAGTTTTGGTGTAATTTCAATATAACTTGGCACACAAGTAGACTACACTAAGATACATAATTCTGTGTATCGGTTTTTGATTTCGATGAACGGTGTTGCCGTGGTTACTAAAAATAGAAATTTCTGTGAAATTCTTTCAAAATGCTACTCCTCCTACAGTTTTGGTCTGATTTCAGTATAACTTGGCACACAAGTAGACTACACTAAGATACATAATTCTGTGTATCGGTTTTTGATTTCGATCGGTGTTGCCGTGGTTACTAAAAATAGAAATTTCTGTGAAATTCTTTCAAAATGCTACTCCTCCTACAGTTTTGGTCTGATTTCAGTATAGCTTGGCACACAAGTATACATAATTCTGTGTATCGGTTTTTGATTTCGATGAACGGTGTTGCCGTGGTTACTAAAAATAGAAATTTCTGTGAAATTCTTTCAAAATGCTACTCCTCCTACAGTTTTGGTCTGATTTCAGTATAACTTGGCACACAAGTAGACTACACTAAGATACATAATTCTGTGTATCGGTTTTTGATTTCGAAATGTTGCCGTAGTTACTAAAAATAGAAATTTCTGTGAAATTCTTTCAAAATGCTATTTTGGTCTGATTTCAGTATAGCTTGGCACACAAGTAGAATACACTAAGATACATAATTCTGTGTATCGGTTTTTGATTTCGATGAACGGTGTTGCCGTGGTTACTAAAAATAGAAATTTCTGTGAAATTCTTTCAAAATGCTACTCCTCCTACAGTTTTGGTCTGATTTCAGTATAACTTGGCACACAAGTAGAATACACTAAGATACATAATTCTGTGTATCGGTTTTTGATTTCGATGGACGGTGTTGCCGTGGTTACTAAAAATAGAAATTTCTGTGAAATTCTTTCAAAATGCTACTCCTCCTACAGTTTTGGTTGATTTCAGTATAGCTTGGCACACAAGTAGAATACACTAAGATACATAATTCTGTGTATCGGTTTTTGATTTCGATGGACGGTGTTGCCGTGGTTACTAAAAATAGAAATTTCTGTGAAATTCTTTCAAAATGCTACTCCTCCTACAGTTTTGGTCTGATTTCAGTATAACTTGGCACACAAGTAGAATACACTAAGATACATAATTCTGTGTATCGGTTTTTGATTTCGATGGACGGTGTTGCCGTGGTTACTAAAAATAGAAATTTCTGTGAAATTCTTTCAAAATGCTACTCCTCCTACAGTTTTGGTCTGATTTCAGTATAGCTTGGCACACAAGTAGAATACACTAAGAGACATAATTCTGTGTATCGGTTTTTGATTTCGATGAACGGTGTTGCCGTGGTTACTAAAAATAGAAATTTCTGTGAAATTCTTTCAAAATGCTACTCCTCCTACAGTTTTGGTCTGATTTCAGTATAACTTGGCACACAAGTAGAATACACTAAGATACATAATTCTGTGTATCGGTTTTTGATTTCGATGGACGGTGTTGCCGTGGTTACTAAAAATAGAAATTTCTGTGAAATTCTTTCAAAATGCTACTCCTCCTACAGTTTTGGTCTGATTTCAGTATAATTTGGCACACAAGTAGAATACACTAAGATACATAAATCTGTGTATCGGTTTTTGATTTAGATGAACGGTGTCGCCGTGGTTACTAAAAATAGAAATATCTGTAAAATTGTTTCAAAATGCTACTCCTCCTACAGTTTTGGTCTGATTTCAGTATAACTTGGCACACAAGTAGACTACACTAAGAACATAAAGAGACTTTATCAACGATCATTATTCTATATATTGCTGTTGTAAAGTTTCAAATCCCAGCTGCTTAAGTACTCTTCTCTTCCTTTGCTATAAGTTCAAACCAGTAGAGCTTCAGTCTCGACAGAGACTTCTGGTTTTTACTGGAATAAAAAATGAAGAAAAAATTCTACTGAAGAAGGCAGGTCGGTGTGATATAAGAGGGCATTGTGCCCCACGGGCCTTTTTTTAAAAAGACAAACAAACTCTACCACATTCTTCCAATTTGTTATATGTCATTCTTACCTTGCAATGTAATGAAGGGAGTCAGGGTGCAAAAAATCAAAACTGAAACTGAAGCTTTTGCTTTGGGTTGATGAGAAAAAGCTAAACAATATTCAAAAAATGCTTTTTGGTGATGAACCTATTGTCTAAGAGTATAAATTCATTTGTTGCAGTGGATATTAGCTAGCTCTAACCTTTTAATTTATATTTTTAAAAAGTATGATCATATTTTTAGTAATTTCAGTACTGTTTACATTATATTTATAAATGTATGTCTGTGAGGCTTTCCTGTCGGACTTGAATGGTTTCTCGATCATATGAATTCGTAATTCCCTTCATCTTTCTGAACATGTCCGTTTCATAAGGAATTTCCTGCATCTTTGGACCCTGTTCTTATTGGTTGCAAAACTGGATTTCGGCGCGAGACAGTGCAGTTAGGGATCGCGCCATATAAATATTTTCCGCAGCAAAAAAAAATCTTGTGAATGAGACACGTAAAAATAATTGTGTGATGAGTTAATAAAATGCTTCCAGGTGTAACTTTCCTCAGTAAATGCGGAATGACATCTATGTTGATGGTCATTGATAACGATGATCGATCTTACCTAACCCTGTGAATGTCTAATTGTAAATACCTCATTCCGCCAACACTATATGATTGTGCAACTGATTAGTAAGTTTAAGTTATTGTGAAATTGCTCAATGTAGACATCAAGGTTGTAAAACGTAGAAAATGGTATCTTAAATATTTCATCATCATCATCATCATTGTTCTCGAGCAGTTAACTGCATTTATTTTATAGTCTCTTATCGATAGAACAGGAAGCGACCAAAGGTTTCCTTTCTGTCTGTGTGTCTGTCTGCTTGTCTTCCAGGCATGCAGTCTGTTTTACTTTTCGTTCTAAACTACACGGTTTTAGACTCGGTGTTGTGTATATCATCTCGACATTCGTATATATATATGTATTGACGATGTTTACTGTAAAATGGTTAATTATATACTGTATATTTATATGAGGGACGTCAACAAATATTTGAGTACTTTTTGTCGATTCAGCCGACTATCGACTAACTAAAGATTGTTTTAGTTGGTTATTCGTAAAAAAAAATTGCCATCATAAAGTCATCTCAGATGGTTATTTATTTTTTGATATGTCGAACATATATATATATAAAAAAAACTACACTGATTCTGCCATACCTGTTTCATATTTGGATGGCTACAAACAATAAGAATCAACTATAACAACTAGTACACGATAAGACGAACGAATTTACTTCAGCTTTTCCATAAACTTTCCTTATTTATGTAGTGTAATAATCCATTATCATCTGCATATGGTGCTTGTCTCCCAACTTATTCGATACAAAGGAGCATGCTTTGAAAACGATCCTTTATTACTCATAGGCAGATTATTGACAAATAAGTTGATGAAACAGGAATGTCAAAAACATCGTTTAAACTCAGCATTGCGTAAGTTCTATGGTTGATTTGAAGACCTTATTGACAGATACAATTATCATATAGGGTTTTCTATTGACAGACTTATTTCACACCAAATGTTGGGCCTTTTTGCGAAGTTTGAATACGAATTATCCCGTCTATCTGATTAATACATGGGGCTCAAGGCAGGTGTGACAGGGAATGCTTACTCTACATAAGCATATGATCCCACCGAGGGGGCATTGTAACAACCATATAATTTGCAAAAAAATGACTTTATACCAGACTGTATATTGATATCCTGGTTTCATCAACTTTTTAGTCATTATCTTGTCTTGTTTTAGAAGAACGTGACCTTTCGTATCAAATCAAATGGGAGGCATCGACTCCAAATGCAATCGTTAATGATGATATATAGGTATACTGCCACATAAATAGGGGGTGTTGACTATAGAAAAAAAAATGAAAGTCATTTCGTTTATCATATTATAAAAATATTGTCGTAACATAATCAATTCATAATATCATCTTTTTCATCTTATCAATAACATTGTGTTTCTCTGCTTGATAATAATTTTTCACAAATGATCAAACACGTATTTCTTATTCCTGAAAAACATAAGAACCCCCTCCTTTGTCTAAGGAACATCTTGTTCATCAGAAAGCTGTGATATATTTCCGGAACTTACCGGGTTGTCCAAATCCCACTTTGGATATTACGATTGTAAAAATGGCGGAAATTTTCGTAAACAAAAATATTGAACTCGCACTTCCACATTTAAACAAGCTGAGATTTGCAGTTTTAGAACTAGGATCTTGCAATGCAACACGAAACGTTTTATTCCCTGATGCAGTTTGTAAATTTGACCTGGTGAGGGTAGAGAGGCCAGACGAAGAGTTGAAACATGACGTGAGATCACTGATCGTAAACTTTTCCTCACTGTTCAGGCCAGGCATAGATTTCCTAACAGCATGCCAAAATACGAGCAGTGATAATATTGCAGAACTTGATGCGCACAAAAAAGAGGCATTGTCTTTACTAAACAATTATTTTCTAAATCTAGGTGAGAAGGGGAAACAGATCATTATGTAAAGAGCAAAAAAAATATATAAAATGTCCTAAAATAAAGAAATAAAAGCATTGAAAAGTATGTGTTAGGAAATTAGGTATTGGGTCTTTCAATCTTAATATATGTTTGCTCGTGATTTTGATTTGTGCACTCAAATATTTCATCTAGAGGTCATCATGGTCATGATTTCTTGATTTGTATGGTTCAAACTCATGGTTGTTGGACAAATGATAAGTACAGATGTTCAGAATTCAGCTGCTGCACTTGGACATTGGTTCAAATCTTTGTCTTGTCCATTGTTAATCTAAGATTTGTATTACTCTTATCCTGACATTTTTATACTGGAAAAACATAGGTAGTATGTACTCGGTAGGAACAATTGATATTTTTTTTAAAACTATATCATTGCTATGGTTATCATGCATAAATATTGTATTTTATTTTAATTTACACATTTAAATATGATTTATTTTGGGTTTTAGATCTTCATGAAGAGAGCCTTAACAAAGTGATTGGGAAGGAAAAAAAGAAAAATGATGAAGCTGACATCAAACAAACAGAGACTGACTTCACTATTGCAGTGGCAGAGCACCTCCTAGGAAAGCTTGCTCCAAGTCAATCCTATCTCATTGACTCCAGGGGGAAGGAAGAGAACAGGTGCAAATGTGGGTGTGAAGTGCTACCAAGTTATGGAAATACAGGCATAGGTATGCTGTAATAGAGAGGAATATTTTAAAATAAATTCAAATAAACTTAAAGTTAAAACACTTGAAGTGATTACATTATCCTTTAAACTTATTTGGAGAAGCTTAACAGGTTCAAATTTACTTTTATGGCATTTGAAAGAAAGAATGATAAGCATGTAAAAATGTCTTATTCAGTATACTGGTAATATTTAACATTTCATGTTAATTATGTTAACTCTTTTCATTGTGCCAGGACATGAAGAGGTATGGCATGGGCATGCTGACATTATTTTTTCACCTCATCATCCTGAGAACCAAAGTATTGGAAAATGTTTCCCCAGTTTGTCTAGCACATCAGATCAGGAGAACACAGCAGTAAAAAGGCCACACTTACATGGTAAGCTAGGGTCAGCTGTTTTTTAACCCTGCTATTATTTTTCATGGCTGGATAAAGAGACCAATACAGTCAGTGTACTTAAATCAAATGAGAGGATCTGCCAGAAAAAAAACAGTGTTTTATGAAGTCAACAATGCAATATTATATTTGGGATTAACACTGCATGATATTTTATCACTTAAGTTTCAAACTACAGTGTATAAACTAACTTGTGTGTAAATATATCTATCTAGATTTTAATATTGAAGCAAAATGACCGAGTTTGTATTTCCTAAATAATAAGGGTTATGGGTGATTGTAAATATATTAGTGTGTTAGGACAAATTCTTATGAACATGATAAAAGAAATAGGTTTAGTTTGATATATTTTATAATCACCTTTTTAGTTGTCAGATTTTGAGAACTTCAGTGGATATATGACTATATGTTGTATCAAAATTTCATCACATGAAAATATTTTTTTAAAAAAGAAAACTGTCTTTTTTCTGTTAAGTTGATGAAAACATGGAGTATACTGACAGAAAAACAAATGCTGAAGTGAAGAGGATAGCTACAGGGACAAGTGAAGAGGCCATAGCTCAGAATATAGTGTTTTCATTGCTCCAGAAACAACAATACCCAAACTCACCAAACTGTATGGTACCTTCTATTTTAATTTCCCCAGACTATTTTCAAATACTGCTCTATGATGCAGAGAACGATGTGTTGTTGTGTAGTAATTTCATAGATTTATTCAATGTAAATGCTGACGGACATTTATCCAGTGAGGCAGTGGTGACACTATGGTGTGTTTTACATTATAGAATATTTTGTTGTGGATTACAATTTGAAAACATGGATGAAGCTAATATTTATAAGTCAAACTTTTCAAGACTAGCTCAAGAGAAATGGCATATATATTCAAACTGTTTGAAAAACTGTGTTAATGAATTCCCTGTGGTAGATAATACCGCGAAGGTTGAATTGTGGAACCGAAAAGTTCTTCAAGGTACAGAGTTTTGTAGAGGCATGAAGAGAAGAAAGTGACACCTAGTGGCTAATGTCTAGACAGAGTCTCGATTTTGTTTAGTCTCTACTAGTTCCCTGAATATGGTTTAATCAGGATTTCATCACATTTATGATGGAAGTTCCACTTTCCTTTTGAATAAATTTACTGTTAATCAATGTTCAGTTTTATCCTTATTTAGCATGTTTAGACATCTCATTTGCTACTAATATCAATCAGGTCATCAGAAAAATTATTCCATTCACAGTATATTGCATTTTTGAAGTTGAGATTTTAAAAATCAGACATGTATTATCTTTTTTTTCAAGAGGACATACATTGTCAATAAAATACGTTATTATTCTGTTTTCTTGTATTTTTTGTCTCTCACCTTTTTGATATTTAAGCAATTACAGTACAGTGTAACTTGGTTGAGTTCTTTGGATTTTAACATATTTAGTTGATGCTGCATGCAGCATATATGCATACATGAAATTTTGATTAGTATTAAATTCCATTCCAGCTTAAGTAATGAGCTCAATTCAACTCTTAGTTTCTCAAATTTCAATTGGTAATGGGTTATAAAGAATTTACAAAAGACTTTTATGTGTATTTACTACCAAAAGTAACTGTTTGGTAACACGGTAACAGTGATTTTTTTTTCGGTTAATTTTGAAATATTTTTGCAAATCCAATTTGTTTTTACAAATCTAGATTTAACATAAGACAGTAAATTGAATTATGAATAAATTATTCTCTAGGAACGACACAGGCACTGTTATTAATCATTAAAGTCGCTGAGTACAGGTATTACAGATTTTATAGTATAGGGGATGACCAACATTTATTTACCCCTTCTATACGTTAAGTTTTGTATACTTCAAAATCTCATTATTTGTCTGGTCTAGCAATTACCTATCAATGCTATAAAATTACACTGAAATGGGGGGTCAGGCCGTAAACAGAACGCTAATAAAGGGGAATTAATCTGCCATGGTGCTCATCAGCTGGGCTATAAACTAAGCTGACACGTGAAAGAGGCACGAATCCTATCTCGTTTATAGGGTATATTAAAACATATTGAGAAAGTTACATCCTTTGGTGCTCAGAGAATTGGGAGTGTGAGGAAAATATTCCTTAGTTATTAGTACATGTACGTACTGCGACCACTTTAAGGCTGTCTGATGGAGTATTGTGCTGGACGATGTAGACAATTATATTGCGTTTTTTTAATATATATTTTTGTATTTTAATACTAGTAACCATTTTTGAAAAAAAATATTTAATGGAATGCTGTTTAGTTTTGTTCAGTTGTCTTGTAAAAGAGAAAATAAATTAAATATACATTAAATGCACCTGAACCCAGCAAAATGGAATACATTTTGAAAAAAAAAAAAAAAAAAAAAAAAAAAAAAAAAAAAAATTGGGGGGGTCAAAAATATATTTTTGGGATCGTTACGCCATATCCTTCCTGAAAGATAACTTGCATCCCATTTTGTAGATACCTTCGACAAACCTATGAATCATTAACGGTTACTCCTGGGGACATATATCAGAAATTTAAAAAAATATATTACATGCAATAACAGCAGCTATAGGAAAAATATAAATTAATAGGAAAAGTCTTGGAGACCAACAACGATATGAACTTTCAATATTATGGACATGTCAGTTTCATTTAGTTTTGAAGTACAAATTAGCATTATTTAAATATATTGCCAAAAAACAATTACATGTAACAGATTTTGTTAAAAAGGTGTAAGAACATACGGTTATTAAAGTAGTATTCCAAGTTGTAACAAGATTGACACGTGTGCAATTAATTTTTTGTCAGCGGTTCATCCACCCGTAAAGAGTAATTATAACATGTAATGTGCTAATTAATATGGGTCCGCATTGTGTCCTAAATCCAGACAGGTGTTTTCACTATAAACAAACAAGCGTGCTGCTTAAGTGATAATATGACGGTAATTAAATAATTAACGGACACAAGGCGCTACCGATTGCGATGGACATGAGTTTAATTTTAATTAGTTCGACGGAGAAAGATTGCCTTCGTAAAGGGGCCGACGGTATTGAGTTAAAGTTATTATAAACTTTTATCTTGTATTATCTATTTTAAGTCTTGTTAATACACAAATCCTCAAAAAAAGATAATTTCTTGCTTAAAATAAAAAAAAGAAAATCAGGATAAAAATCTATATTATAATTATTAAATAAAATCGTTTGAATGACAGTATAAAGAATTGTTTCTCAAAAGCAAATGTGTAAGCAAAAAAAATCTTAACCATTGAACACAATCTCCACAAGTCCACGTGTCCTACGCATTGCGGCATATAGCCTTTTTATCAACTTCAGTTCGCTAATATTTTGTGTCTAAGCCCACTGTTTACAGGAATTTCCTCCTTTCTCCACCTTTGTCACTGTTTTGAGATTAACGTGTTTAAATTTCCATCCATCAAGGAATCTTAGTCGGAAAATAAGAGTAGTAGCAAGGGTCATTTGTGGTCATCGATCACACTTGTCAAATACTCAGCTATTATGTGCGAGGAATTGAATCCTCGGAAGAGCTTATAACCTACATTTTATTAAAATGAGTTTATTTGATGGTATGAATTTCAAGGTAAACTGTGTAATTGGGTTTTTTTTCTCTCGATCTCTTTATAATAGTTATAACTACAAATAAATTTGAAGTAAAAATATAAAGAAAATGTTGAACACATGAAGAGAAAATCGTGCTCAGATTGCAGGAGTTTTACCTCAATCTCCAATTTAAGTGACATTTATCCATAACGAGTTGTTTATGCAGAAAGTCAGCATGATTTGGAATTGTTTGAAATACACGTCCACGAAACGAGCAAAACTTCTGTGTTTCAAAAATTGTTAGCAAACTAAGAAATAGAACTGATATGCCATACCGGGATTTGGTAGGTTCGTGATTTAGGGGCCCTCATGAATCGACCTCTTGAGATGTCTGATGAGATTTCAACAACTGGGCGATTATTGATGGTTGTAATGTGACAAATACGAATATAATTGAATTTTTTCAAAAAGATAAGCCACAAGTTTGATAAAAAAAACTTCATCCAGTTTGACAAAAAAAAACTAAATAAAGAAGGCTAGATTTAAACACAAAGGAATCTATCTTGCACCTAGAGAAGGTAAAAGCTATCCCGTTCATTTACAGAGGGAGATTGATACCACTTAAAGTTTTGGAAATCTTTGGTTTAAGTGTAGAATGATAGACATTTGTGTTCTTTATGCGCCTGGAATGTTGCGATCAAAGACAACGGTACAAGATCTGATTAAAGCAATTTCAAGTTTTGTTGCAATTGTATATTGAATGTAAACGCTGAGAGATACCGGGAACAGAGTTGCATCAAAACAAGATGAGGAGAACACAAGCAAATATAAACACTGTATAGAGGCGTTAAAAAGGAACAGAAGTTTGGAAATTGCTTCCAACTAATAGGCGGTTATAGCGGTCGGGAAGAAATTATATGCTTTTTCAAAAAGAAAACTCTTTATTGCTTCATTCAGTTTTTACGAAGAAGTCTCTTAGAAGATTCTAGGATTTGCGAAATTTGCAAGGATTAATTTCTTAAAAACTAAACTGTTAAGCGGCCCTCTTTTCGGGTTTTCTGTGCCATTCAGAAAGGAGTATAGTTTGAATTTCTAAGTAATGAATTGTTATTTTGTAGTGGGAACTTTTGAAGCTGCTAAACTATAATTTGACGCAAATAGTGGCCAATTGCTTCAGGTTTCAAGACTTCTGGATGAAAAGTTCTGATGTAGTTATAAAACCAATGAATACGAGATCCAAAGTTAATTTTTTGATGATTGATACTTTTTTCAGGAGGAATAGGGATTTATGGGAACAAAAAACTCGCATATTGTGAATATTCCGGAAAACAACTTCATTTGTGGAAGGAAACCAAGTAACATTTTCTATATAACTTTTACTTTCATCATTGCGTAATTGTTCTGAAATTTATGACGTCTTGGGGATGAAAGATCAAGACATATAATAGGATTTATGTGATATCGTTCTCAAAAAGCGACTGCTCAAAACTTATGGAAACCATTCATTCTCTATATACTCGGTTAAACAAAGTAATTGTTTTCAAAATTTATGGAGCATTGTAAAATTCTAAAAGGAAAGGATGTGCGTAAATCAAGAACGTTAGAAAGAAAAATGGACATTGATTAAAAATTTCCAACTTCTATCTTCCTCCCACTCATTGGTGATGTTAAAATAAGGAATCGATTCCGTGTGTTTGAAAAGAGACATAGCCACCGGAAATATCACATTTACAATCGTAAAACACCCTCTAGTGTACAAACAAGTTGCGATTCCTGAATAAAATTAGCAAAATCCGCCACAAATACCTACGTTTGTCCTGATAAAAAATTGATTAGTCATAAAAAGTATTACTAAGATATTTAGAATACCTAGCAAATATAAGTCGCTCCCACCGGTATTGAATTGTTATATTATCTTTTGATGTTTTAAGCTTTGTTCGTTAATTCAAATAAATATTTTATTTAAATACATCTTTTTAAAATGGTCCCTAGATAAATTTAAGGTAAAATAAGAAGTTTGCCTTTTACATTTATTTTTATTCAAAGATTTTTGCATATGACGTAGAACTAAAGATAGAAATGTGTACACAAGTCAGAATATATGAATGGAGAAAATGGACAATGCGAAATATTTCTTTAAAGCTGCGATAAGCTTTAAGTGAGGCAATCTAATAACTCAAAAAACTAAATCACTCCAATTTACCGACAAACAAGTAATTACAACAATTTAAGGCGTGCTCCGCTTCACTGAAGCCAATCGAAATTCGTTTCACGGCCTGGTGGGCGGAGCTTACTCATTGAGGCTTAGGGGTTAATAGGAGACAAATGGTTTCTCTTGCATGTCGCCGATAGGTTCATTCATATGATATCAATTCGACTGGCTACAACTAAGATAATTGTCACTTCGAATTATCATAACTTATTGATAAAAGTGTGGGTTTTATAAATGCCGAGAAGTTTTCCAAAATACCAAACACACGTGGAGACACCAGGACTTACAACAATATATTATATTCCTTCGACTTATGGAAACTTCGAAATGATTTCAGGATCTTGTGAAACTATAGATGGATGATGAAAACAAAGTTTACGAAGTCTGGACCACATTGAGAAAAAGAATTGTTTGATTTTCATTTTATATTCAAAGGATATTATTTCTGAGAGAAGATTTACGAACAAGATACCTAACAATATATAGCAGTGACATCACCAAATAATTGAAGAGGTGTCTGATTTAAATAATGAATCGACTGGACCTGCTATCACTTTTATTGGGAGTTTAT